TGACCCTGCTCGTCCTGCCGCAGGGTGTCCGGTGTGCCTTTATAGGACCTGCCCAGCCGGGGCTCATCAGCTGGGACTACAAAGGCGAGGTGTCGCCTCCACACTGGGCGTGCCCCCGCATCATGCCACATGTGTAACTGGCAACTTCAGGGAATAAGTTGGATTTCTCAGATTCTACAAGGACATTCATAGCTACCAGTAACTGAAACACTTACAATGGCACCAATGTGTCAACAGCAACGTTCAGCACCTCTTCCCAAGGCAACATGGGAAAAACACTGCCCCCTCGACATAGCCAATGTAAATACAGCAAGAAGGAGGCCATTTTCAGCATCACGGATTGAGTCTTAAAATGTGAAAAGAAAGGGCACTTTATGTCCTCCTTCCACTCTCCCAGGTGCTGCATGTGAAGATCAGATCAGGAACAGGTACCTGCTGATCTATGAGATGACCTCAGTGATTAACATTCATTCCCATCATCCATTGCGACTGCATGCTCTTCAACACACCCTAAACCCGAAAGTTCCTCCTGGCCACAATTACAAATATACATGACTTGAGTGGAAAAAGTTATTAATGTCATGCCGATGAGATATCCGTCCAGGACTGCTCACTTTGACTTTCTGTGCTGAGAATGTTCAATTACAAGTCTATTTAGAACGTGATGCCCCCCAGCAGTGTGAAACAGCAGGAGCTAATTAATATGAGAGAATCCTGGACATGTCTGTGTACCGCGAGCCCATGTGATGAGGTGATGCCCATACCCCCTGCGCGCTCGGAGAGCGGTTCATCACAGACCAGGAGCGTGGGCCTTTCCGGCTGCTCTCTCCCCGAGTGACTTTGGGGGAAGGACACCGCACGTCCGCTGGGTTATTGAAATTCTCCTCCCTCGCCCCTGCAACAGCTGGTAATTGCGTTTTGATAGATCATTCGCAGGGAGCCATAAATCACGCACCAGCACCGCAGTGAGCGCCGCGTGCCAGGGCCTGGCACCAGGGGAGCCGCCAGCCTGCCTTTACGGCGGGTCTTAATAACCCAAGCACGGCGGCGCCAGCTGTCCGAGCCCATCGTCCTTCACTGGGGCACCCGCCCTGGCAACAGCCCTGCCTGCCCAGACGGACTGGGCAAGGGGGCGGCACCATTACAGCCTTCAGACCCCCATCCTGTGCCAGCAGCACCAGGATAATGGTGCAGAGTAAGTTGTGTCAGGACACCGATAACATCCCATTCTGGCAGAAGGAGGCCTGCAATAAGAGCGACGCAGAAGCCCAACAGCCATGTTGAGCTAATAGCCCTCCCCGTGCACGGGTGGTTTAAACTACGCTGGCAGGCGGAGACAGGAAAATACTGCCAAAAACCTCAGCACAAGCCTGACTCCTGCACCAGCCTAGCTACTACCCACTGCTCGGAAGACACAGGCTGCAAGTCGAACTCTGGCCACAAGTCCTCAGGTCCTCTGAGGTTTAACAGGACACTGGTCTTATTTGAAGTCTAAACTTTAGGACTCCCCAAGAGGAGTGTTAAGCCTGAAACTGAAGTACTGCACAACTACATTGGATGTGCATTCGTCTACCAAGCAGAGAGCAATTTGAACTCTGAGTAATTTGAATATGAAAGAGTAATTTGAATTTGAACTGTTTGCCGATTCAAGAGCAAGTTCAATTCAAGGGTTCTGGAAGTCGACATAATTGTCAAAACACTGAAAATAGGTTTTCGTCGCTTTTTCTGTAGCTCTACAAAGTATTATAAGGAAAAACTGAATCTTTGTCCCCTGGTTGATGAAATTACATCTGAAAATACAAATGCATACTCTATATATTGATAAGCGTACTGCATATATACATGCTTTTATATTACTGAACACAACAAAATCAGCTTCATTTAAAAAGAGTAACTAAAGCAATGGAACAATAAATATTTAAAAACTTAAGAACTTTTATGAAATTGGTTTCAAACTAGGGTATAACAAAGTCTGGGAGAAGGACCTGAGTTATCGTTCAGAAAAGGACCCCAGTGCCCCACACACACCCCTACCCCTAGCACTCCACCCTATACCCTCCACGCACTCACTCCACAGGCGCCCCCAGTGTTGCTCCTCTGGGAAATATCATGCTGCTTTTGTATGCACCAGCACGATTTACAGTCTTAAGAACGGTTACACGTGAGAGCAGGTTATTTGACCCATCTACTGTAGCTCGTTCAGTATTAAGAAGCTAATAGATCCAACCATCTCTTCAAGCTGTTTCTTGAAAGAAGGCTTCAAGCACATGGCTGAGTTTCACCCTCCCTCTCCCACAGCCTTTTGGAGAGAGACCTGCCTCCCGTTCTGAGTTTTAAATGCACTTTCACACAGTTTCCACCTGCGCTCTCTGGTTCGTGTTCGACTGCTGATTCTAAAGAAGCCCACTGGGTTGACTGCGACAGAGCACCTTCAAGCTCTGTGGATCTTCAAGGTTCCAGGTCCGGCTCTGTTTAGCTAAATGCATGAAGTCGGATATGAGGAAGTGTTTTTCCTGACTCTTTCCAGAGGGGAAACAGTGAAATTGTGAAACTGAAAGTCAAGGGAGCATCACTTTCACGCCACAGGAATGGGTGAGCAAGAAAAGCAACTTCACTTGAAAATGTAATTACTGTGCGATCCGGAAAGATCGCCCTGCTCTGTTCCTTTCTGCTGTCCTCTCCTGTGCAATAAATCCGGACTTGCCGCTACCTTTCCCCATCCTGTTCTAGCGGGAATGCGGAGCTCAGTGACACCTGCTCCTCCGGTCCTCTGTCTGGGCACTGACAGACAGCAGGGGTTGTTATTTCCTGCTGCAGGTTTCTAGGAGACATGGGAAACAGGGCCAGCAGGTACTGGACTAGTTACAGGACACCCAAGCCTCGCAGTCCAACACACTGACCTTCCTGTTCCCTGCAGCACTCATCCCTGTCTCCCTTGAACAGGATGTAGGGAATCGACCTGTTTTTCCTGGAACAAGGAGTGCATCGATGTTGTAAAGGAAGGGTAAGAAGGTGCTTCCAAATCCGCACAGGGGCGTGTTGTACGGCCGTGAAGTCAAGTGGCAGTCACTGCCATGCTGTCAGCTCGAGGTTACAATGGACAAACACAGCTTCAAAGGGTAACTGCAATATTGTGAGGCACTGTGCCAACCTTCATGTTTGACTCCTCCTTCCTTCGGAAGAGGGTGGGGGCCAGGAGGGGGTGTATACAATCTACCCCATTGCCTGTTTTCCATTGCTCTGACTGCTGCTCCTCAACATGTTTAACACTCCCTCACTGCTGCTCCTCAACATGTTTAACACTCCCTCATCGCTGTTCCTCAACATGTTTAACACTT